GAAGAGATTACCAATTAGCACTGATAAAAAACATATCGATTGGAAACAATCAATCTTTTTACTCTCATATCTGAGACCCACAAACATGATATGAATGAAAGACAAAGATGGAAAAGAACTTTTACTCTAACCATAAATGCAGATCTTTAAAAGAATACTGCACGATACTTTGGTAAAAGATAGATAAACCCATAAACAAGTAACTAATTGGAAAGTTATAGCAAAATCCGACCTTAACTATTCGGCTAAACGATTACCTGTTTCGCAACACTTGCAGCCCGTGTCATATCTTCATATGAACTATTTGTGCAAGAACCAATGAGACCGACTTTAATTTCCAATGGCCAACCATTTGCTTGCGCATTTTTTCCAAGCGCATCAACTGGATGCGCCAAATCCGGAGTAAACGGGCCATTAACATGTGGTGCCAGTGTGCTTAGATTTATTTCAATCAGCTGAAATTTATATTTGAATTAAGAAATCTGAAAAGACTCAAACTTAGTCCTCCAGATGTACACTTTTTATTTAATTGAAGATAGAGCTCAAAAAAAAAAAAAAATTTTTTTTTCATTTTCACGTCTGCAAAATTCATAAACCAAAAAGTATAATTCAAAACGTGGTATGATTATTCAATTTCTTTTGCAGTTAGATTTCCAAATCACATTTAAAAGGACCCTAAAACATAGACAACATGATATTTATTCTCAACTTTCGAAAAAAATTTTAAATGTACAATAAAAAAAGACTTCCTTTAAGAGTTACAGAAGGCAAATATATACTCACTGACTCATAACTAACCTTATTATACTCGGAACCTTCGTCTGGTGTCAATATTTCCTTATACCGCATTGCTTCTTTTGCAATGTCTTCTCGTTTTGTGGCTTTTAAATATTGCACCATATTGTCATTGAAGGGGAATATTGATGTTGTCGCACCAATTTCTGCACCCATATTACAAATCGTACTCATACCGGTTGCTGATAATGAATCAACACCAGGACCTGAAGCCATTCTTTTGAATTCATTTCACTTTTACTATTAAAGTAGTAAAGCAGAGTTTTTTTCAGCTGAATAAAGCTTAGCAAGAACTGCAGCGATTTATTAAGTCTTTGGAATATAAAAACTTATTTGCTTATCTGAATAGTGGCAAAAATCAATCATACCGAAATACTCCACAATAGAGCCTGTACCACCTTTTACAGTAAGTATATCTGCTACCTTCAAGATAATATCCTTACTAGACGTCCAGCCTGAGAGTTCACCTGTCAGTTTGACACCAATCACCTAAAACCTTGACTTCGCTAAACTGCTGCAGCATCAGAATACTAGCGAACAAATATTAACAAATATGAAGGACAAAGTTTCTCAAACTTCAAAATATTTAACAAAGTTACTTGCGGACATTTCAACTCCCATGGAATATCTGCCATAACATCAACAGCATCAGCACCTCCAACACCTATACATAAACCCCCCAAACCACCTGAAAATGTGTTTCCATATCTATTTTAAAACTAAATAACGAAGTTAAAACTCGTAGACAATGTAAACAAATGGGTCCGACACAAGCAAAATTCACTAAAAACTTATTTTAATTAGTACTTTCATGACACTTTTATGGTTGTTGCAAAAAACATTCATGTATGTAATTTCTTTTTTCCTCCTAAAGAAGAAGGCAAGAATCAAAAAAGAAAAAAAAAAAAGAAAACAAAAATCGAAGTTCGTGATGAATGAAAAAAATAAAACAAACATAAGCATACCTCCCATTGGAGTATGACTATCTGTACCAATTAGTAACAGTCCAGGAAAAGCATAGTTCTCCAGGATAATTTGATGAATAATACCGCTTCCTGGCTTCCAGAAACCAACACCATACTTATTGCTTGCTGAGGATAAAAAGTCATAAACCTAAAATAAAATATACTATATTACCTAAAAAGGAACGTCAATTTTAGCATATAATACTAAAAATAATGTCCATCTTGATTATTTTACATAAAAAAACAATAATTTAAGGAAAAATATTTTGAAGAAAAGAACCTCCTTATTGAGTTCATTAGCTCGTTTTAAATCAGGGTCTCCTCCTAGCTGTGCCTGAATCAAATGGTCACAATGAATAGTTGATGGTACTGCAACTTGTGGAAGTCCTGAAGAGATGAACTGTAGCATAGCCATCTGAAATTAAAGCAAGTGCAGTGATAATCGTTAACTTCTCTGCACCAAAGAATAATATCGCATCGTTTTTGTTGGATCATTTATGAACATTGAATAATGTATTTTTATAGCAAGACAAATTTCCAAGATATTTGAGATAAAAAAAAAAACAGGACCTGTGCAGTGGCATCTTGCATTGCTACTCGATCTGGCCTTAGTCGCAAATATGAAGAACCTCGTTCAATATCCTGCTTATCTGGTTCATCTAAATGTCCATACAATATCTTTTCAGATAATGTAAGTGGCCTTTTTAATCTGAAATTTAAAGAATGATCAAAAACACTGCGAAATTATTTCCCATTCTTTTCCATTTTCTACATAATTATTCAAATCACTGACCTCTGTCGTATAATATTTACATTTCTTTCCAATTTTTCATATGGTAATACAGATTCTTCTTCGATATTATTCATCCGTACTCTTGCACCAAGTTTTGAGCATAAATGTAGCAAACGTCGTCCATTATGATGCGCATTTAAGATAGGGCATTCAACACCACGCAATAACATTTTCCAACAAATATAACGTACTAAATTCAATTTTAATAACTTCCAAATTAAAATTAGAAAGGAGTAAACGAAAAACAAAAAAAAAAAAGAAAAAAAAATTCTGTGTAATAGAACAAGATTACAGATATAAAATTCAAAAAAAAATAAAGAAACTAGAGTATTGTGATACCTAGTTTATAATAAATTATGCATAAATTTGTAAATTATCTACTCTTAAAGCCATAAAACTTATTTCCATCACTTTCAACAACAACAAAAACAACAACAACAACAATAACAACAATAGCTCTTCAACTAAATTCATGCGTTGAGGCGCATAAAGCAGCAAGACAAAAGTGCCACTCACCTCACTTTCTGCCCGAGAATGTGCAATCAATATTTCATCTTTCTCTCGTAATCAGGCAACAGCTGTCAAAAAAAAAAACTGGTAACGTCCCCGCTAAATCCTTCAGTGATTCCTCGGAATTAAAAATAATCAACACCATTATTCTTTTCTTTTCTTTTTTGCTCTTTCTTCCTTTGTCCCATCTCTCTCTCTTTCCCTCCTTCTCTCTTTTCCTTTTTCTCTCTCTTCTTTCAATCATTAGTAACACTACACAATCTAATTAATCTATGTCTAACACTCCTTCATCACTTTCTAACTAATATCGCACTCTTTCAATTGCTTAGTCGAAATTCTGGATGTTTTCCAGTATTGATATTATTGGAGGAAATGAAAGTGTATAGGTGAGTTTTACCTGATTAAGTGGTTCATATCCGGTTCATATCTGGTTCACGTCCAGTTCACCTTCCTCTCATAATCTTCTATTAGCTGACTGAATTTGTTTCTTTGACTCGGAAGTTTCATACTTATGTTTTCATAGCATCGTCACATTATTATGAGTAATCAGTGATTTTCTTCCGGAAGAACCGATTCCGTTTTAACATCAAACAATAAACCAGTGAAATTTTACAGAAAATGTCCCCATCAACTATTCTTACTGTCATTTATTATTGTACATTTTACTTGAATAGTAATTGAATAGAATGAGAATTATAAATCTTGGCCAAAAAAAGTTTGCTAGGCCATAATATGTAACCTCATTTCGTAGTTAATTATTTGCAAAAAAAAATTTGAAAGTTTGTAGGTAAAGAATTTCAGCTAAATATAGAACTTTAAGTGAATGCAACAAATGATAATACAATTTATTATAATAAAAATAGGGAAGAATAATTATTCTTTACAAAAATTCGGAAAATGTTTTTTTAATATCGATTTATCAGGTCAAAGGTAAGAATATTATTTCCTGAAAATATTGCTCCGGAAAATCCTTTAGAGATATTTAGAGATTTTTTTTTAGTGATTTTAGAAATTTTTCTTTTTTTTTAAATTTTCCAGGAGTAGAAGATTCATGGACTTTTAAGCTTGAAACTTGAAAGTTCATAAATAAAAAATTTTTTCTTTTTTTAAAGTTAAACTGTATCAGTGGATCAATGTTTATTAAGCAAATAAAATTAATGCTAGAAATAAATTCAGTCAACATAATTTTTTCAAATTTGATGAAATCTAATCTCTGAATGAACTAATTAAATTAAAATATGCTAAAATTTCATAATCTTTTGCTTAATATATTAATGGAAAGGAAATTTGTGCGAAAAAGTTGAATATTTTTCTTAAATATCTGCAAGTTATTTGGTTAAAATTTAAATTGGTTTGGATAATTTTTATTGTTTCAGTAGCATTTAAAATAAGTTAACAAGATGGAATTATAATTCATATTATAAATTCGAGAATGTTGTAACAGATAAAACATAAATTTAACCATTCTCAAGATTTTTGATAATCTCTCGCAAAACTCTCTAACATATATATCAATTATTGATTGCATAAACAAAAATTTTTCAAAAGAAAAATTATCGTTTTGCAATTTTCAATGGATGCAACAAATGTAAACTAATGAAATAGTAAACAATTTGAGCAATACAATATGATTTCCATAGCGAACTTCGCTTTCCTCTTTCTCCTTAAAATTGATTGAACTTCATTAAAATTTTTATTGGAATTTGTAAATTTGTGTGGGAAATGTGGAATTAGCTTTTTTTTTTTTTTTTTTTTTTTTTTTTGTGATACTAATAAGAAATGTTAGTTTATTTGAATGGAAATTTCTTTTAAAATTCACATAGATTTTGTTGTAATAATTTATGAACTATCTAAGATCTGAGATAAAAGAAAAGGTAGTACTGATGGTGAAGTTTCCTTGAATAACAGAGAAAAGTAAGTATAAAGAAAAATGCAAGTTACTTACCAGCTGTTGAAGTTTGTGCTTGTATGTGATCTGAAATTAATAATAGCTGTTAGAAATTCGATATCATAATATTTATCAATTCTATGTAAAATTAATCATATTTGATCATCAAATTCAAACTTATACCTTAATTTTTCAAAAAACTGGGCTTTTAGAAAAAAAAAAAAATACATTTGAGAAAAGAAAAAAGATAAATTTAAAATTCTCAAAGTGTAAATCACTTGAACAAGTCTTAACGTCTAGCGTTTCATTTAGCTAAATCGCTTTTTGAAATTTTTAATTTTTAATTTTTGCATTCATTTCTAAAACTAAAATTTTTGTTGTTTATTTCGTGTAAAATGATATGAAACGCTATCAGTTGTTATCAGGACTGATTATTTGCAGTGTCTATAAAAAATTTTTTTGCAAATATAACCCTTTTTTATTCTCTTTCACTTATTTGAAAAAGAATTTTTGATTTGTTTATTGCTTTTCTGATAATAAAAATTAAGATGAAAAAATGGGGAAAGAGTAGAAAATTTTGCGCTTTTAAATGAATAAAAATGGATAAAATTTAATTATCAGAATGATTTTGATTAAGACAAAATTAACTTTTATGATAATTTTATTGTAACAGTAAACTTTTAAATCAGAGGATCAATGTAATCTGAAATTTAAAAAATTTTCAAATATTTATTAAAAGTTATTTTTGCTCGCATCATCAGAATATGAAGAATTTTGGTTGATTTTATTTTAAACAAGAATAGAGTTATATAGTGTCAACGTGCGAGAGAGGACAAGTAATTCAGTGAAAGTTAAATTTTCAGAATTAAATCAGACATACGCTAATAGTTCATTAAGTAAGTGTTATTTCCGGATCCGGTTATTAACAAAATACATTCCATATTGAATGGAAAATCAAATTTTTGAAAGAAAAATTTTAAATGATGTTATCAAAAAATAAACAAAAGTTTTATGAATTCATATGTGACACCTTATCTCCTAGCATTCAGTAACACATACATTAATCCAATCACTAATAGCATGCAGCATGCTATGAGAAACATAAACAAAATACCATGATTATTATCACTATTACAATCAGTATAATCATTATCATTATCAACATGCACACCCTTTCGATATTGAGAAGAATGTGTTGAGAGGAATCTTCCTGAATACGGTTCAATTTGAAATGTTTCAGCCGATTTCCTCATAGAATTAGAAGAATTTTCTAATTTGTATGGTGATATGATAGAATGATTATCGCTGTAATCATTGTTATTAATAGTGTTGCCGTTGTTATTATCATTATCACTGTCATCGTCATCATCATCATCATCATCATCATCATCATCATCGTCATCACTATCATGATCCGGATATCCGGAACCTAGAAATAACAAGGATGCTGATGTCGCAACGGCATCAGTTAGAGTTTTTAAGGGGATATATTATTCTAAAATATTATAATATAGTGCAGTGCAGGTGAAAATTTAATTTTAAAATTTGCAATGATTAATCATTCATATTTTATCAATCAGATGAATCATTTTCTTTTTTTTTTTAATAGAAATACTAAAATTGATCGCTTCATCATCTTCTATATTATAAAAATTTGATCATAAATGCTATAACATAATACTAAACTCAGCTTTAAAGCTTTAAACCATCTGATTAATAAAAGTTAGTCAAAAGTAAGTTTGTAGGAATTTTTTTTGCATTTTCATTTGATAAGTTCCTTTCTTGGCTTTGGCTTAATGTTATTTGAACAATAATAATTGATAGTTTCATGCAAAATATTTGCAAAATTAAAATATTAAGTGAACACATTGAAAACAGTTTGTAAATTTGTTCAAAATGATAAAATATTTGAATGATTCGAAGTTGATCTGATTGAATCAATTGATCAGATCAATGCTACAACATTCTATTTTACTATACTTTATACTTTTCAGATTTTTTTTTTTTTTTTCATCAAATCTTACTTATTCTTTCTGCTAGAAATGAAAAAATTTTCTCAATAAAATCTAAAATAATAAAATTTCCAAAGATTATCACGATTTTCCCTACTATTTGTCAATAAATAATAATTCAATACAATGAATGATATATAAATTTTGTATAATTCTCGTAAGAGTTAATTCAAAATACTTTTGAAATTTTCAACATCATAAAATAAACAAACCCTCAATAAACATTGCTGCAAATTTATTGTATGCTGAGCTTCCTTCTAAAAAAAAAAAATAAAAAATAAAAAATTTGTAATGAATTGTTTAAAAATTCGTCAGTGTGACTGAAAATCTAAAACTTGAATTCTATTTAATTTATTTTTCAAATGGTAATGTTAAAGAGAAATAAGCAAATAAAGCATAATTGATTATTCATACATTTTAATTAATATCTTTCTTTTTTTTTTTTGATATTATCCATATTATACCAAACTTTTTAAGTTCACTTCAAAAGATTGTGTCAAATTCAAATTGAAGAAACGAAATTTTTTTTTTCTTTAAATTCACAAACTTTTACCTTTCACAATAATATCAGCAAAATGTTCACCGTTATCATTTATCGCAATACATCGATATGTACCAAATTCATTTTTGCTAATATTTTTGATAGTTAATATGTGTATGCTACAATATCTGCCTGATACTTCATTTGACTGAAAATTTAAAATTTGAATATTTTCAAATTATTTCAATCATTTTTTTAACTTTTTGATTTTTTTACTCGTATTATTCACTCAGATGGAATGAAAATTTTTACAAATTTTATCATCAAATTTTGAAATAAATGAAAAAATTTTTAATAAATAAATCAAAATGAAAGTGATGGTTTAACTTTTTAACATACAAATGAAAATGTTGATGAGTTGAATATTTCTTGTCCATTTTTTCCCCATTTCACTAATGGCTTTGGCCAAGCTTCCACATTACAAACTAAGCTAATCTGATTACCAAGTGCTACCTGAACAATTTCAGCTTGCGGTACAACCGTTGGCTCAACTGCAACATTTCAAAAGTAATATGATCATTTGAAATATTTCTCGAGAAAACTTTGCCAAAGTTAAGCTAAGAAGTAATTTCACCATTATTCTTCTCAATATATTATTCTTTAAATTTGAAATAAAATTTTTCAATATATTATTCTTTCATCTCAATATATTATTCTTTAACATTGAAAAAGCTATTTACAATAGTTTTTATCAATACATAAACGTACAACAAGAAATTTATTTTTCATAAAATTTTAAAATCACATATATTATGAGTGAAAATTTTAAAATCATACTACAACTAGTAATTTGAATAATTTTTATTGTTACTGATATGATAACTTACATGTAACATGAAGTTTCACAGTCCAGGACTCATCTGGTGGTACACCATTACTTGCGACACAAATATATTCACTCATATGTTTACGGCTTACTTTAATAATTGTCATATCAGAACCATTAAATACAGTTGCTAAAAATGAACAATGTTTAAATTTTTTAACATTATAATAACTGTAATTATTAATTTGCATTAAGTTCCATTTATTTTTGCTAACCTTTCTAAAAATTAAATTCCAAATGAGTTTACTTTCATAAGCTTACAAATCATAAATTTTATTAACCTCCATAGCCAGTAACACCATTAAATCGGATAATCTGTCGATCTTGTCTCCTCCATACGACAGTCGGTGGTGGATCACCAAATGCTCGACATGACAAAGTAACATTTTGTCCTTCACGTACCTCTACAACTGCTGCTGTTGTTCGAGCCACGTACGGTGGAACTAAACATTTTCCTTTTTTTTTTTTTTTTACAATTGCTAAATATTTATCATTTAATTTTAAAATTTTCTTAGGAATTTCAATTACACCAATATTGGCTGATAATTAATCAAACAAACAGTAAAATGTTGGCCAAAACTAAAGAGTTGAGAGAGTTGTGATGAATAATTAGTAGTATAATTAATTATTTACAATATCCAAATTAAAGTATGATTTGTCATTTATTTTTAAAATTTTTAATTACAAAATTTGTGCTTCTTTGATTATTTGCTCAAAGAATGCGCGCAATTCAGACATTTCCGCCTAAAATCAATGCAAATCTCTGGCAAAATCTCCTTCATTTGTATATATTCAAGCTAATCAAATTTAAATTAACTTTTAATGCACTTAAATTTTCAAATATTGATAAGGATTGATGAATAATTTAGTGTTCTATTTGGCATTTTCCAAAAAGTCTATTTCAGTTAATCAATTATTAAGCGTTTTACTACCTTTTCGTTGCTTAATTAATTCAATATTAACTTCCTCCTAGCAGCAGGTGGCATTTATCACCTCTTTAATAGTTCATTTGTTCTCTTTCTCCTTCTTCAATTCAATATCCCAACAGAAATATAATAATAGTACATTGATTTATAGAAGAGACAAGAAAGGACAAATGAATAAATGATTTGACATCTATTAACATTTTCAAAAAAGAAACCAAACCTACTAAATAATACTTTTCACTTAATTTTTCCTTTCCATTTTATATTTTTTAGGAAAATTTTAAAATTTCAAAAACAACGTTCAATTCATTACCTCTTCTTTCTATTTAATTTCTAATTAATTTTTAACCAGCCAATAAAGTTGTGTAAACGAACAAAAACAGTAGCAAATAATTAATGATATTAGCAAAATTCTTTACTATCATACTTATATTGTGTGATTCTTGATCTTTACTAAAATTTAAATCCAATTTTTTATTTATTCAAAGGTTGCATACAATTTTTTTTTTTTTTTTTTTTTTTAGAATTTTATTGTTCTAAAGTATAAGGATTGAGCCTTTCTGTACATAAATTTTGTTTACATTGTTTACAAAATTTTTTTATTATTGAATTGAATAAATTTGACTTTTTGTAAATGAGTGAATGGATGAATGAATGAAGAAAGGAAGAAAAAAAAAAAAAGAAAAGAACGAAGATGGATTTAATCCAATTTGAAATAATTCTCACATAGTTAGCAAAAGATAAAGTGAAGATTTTCATTTGGATACTAATCAACAAATCAAGAACAATAAATATCAGAAAGATGAATTAATATGCATTAAATGATTTGTTGGTTAATGGACTGTTAAGTTGTTAAGTGAGGGATTGAGAAAAGGATCTAGAAAAGACTAAATATCATTATCTCGAGATTTCTCCATTAAATTAGAAATCAAAGAGATCATGAAGACGATTGATAATTTTGTCAACCCTTTCACTCAAAGTTAATCCTTTGCTTTTCATGGCTCATTACACATTCAGTAATATGTCGTCAGTATATATTATCAGAAAAGTTTCATGTTATCATTGTATAATATTAATTTACCATTTTATTAAAAAGATTTACCTTTAACATGAAGGTAACCAATTTTTGAAAGTATTGGATCGGTGTTTAGTTGACACGAGTAACCACCTATATCATTTTCCTAAAATAGACACTCTTGAATAATTAAATTAAAAATAGAGTTAAAATTTTACAATTAAAAAAAAACAGAGTTAAATTTCAAATTTTAATCTTATTTTTTTTTTTAAACTTCACTCTTACTTGGATATTTTTAACGACTAAAATCCATTCATTATCATTCATTGTTCGTCTAATTTCATATTTGTATCGTTGCCGGAATACCTTAAATTTAACTTGAATGATTTAAATTTAAATTGGAATTGTTTTATTTCTAATTCAAATTGGATAGTAAATTGAAAAAAAAAAATACAAAATTTTTACAACAAGATACAAAATTTCAATAGAATGTAGCTAGCAATTAAAAAATGAATTGAAAAAAAAAGTGGAAATTAAAGCTAAACCTTTTCACCAAAAGCAATTAACCTTGGTGGCGTATCTGCTCGAGCAAATGCTACCTGGAAAAAAGCTAAGATATGAAAAAGTTTTCATTACATAACTAAAATGGAATTTATAAGTTTAATTTTGTTTACCATTTACAGACATCAGGATTACTCAAGTAATAACACAATCAGTTCAGTATTATTACATCATTTTCAGGTAATTCTTTCCGGATATGATTCCGTTTTAACACCATATGTTATCTGATAAAATTAGTTAATTCATGAACTATTAAACATTATTTTATTCAGAAATTCAGAAATACGATAAAAACATTTTTTAAAAAAAAATTCAGAAATCTTACAGCATAGTATCAATTCTCAAAACTTTTAAAAAATTTAGCTAAAGTTCTTATAAATTCCTCGGAAATTTTGAAAATCTATCAAAACACATTTTAATTTTAGATCATTTTTTTTTTCTTTTCATTTTCTTCACAAAATATTTGATTGATTGATTGAAATTAAGCAATTTGAAATGGTACCATATGTTTGCCAAGTTTGGATACTTGACACCTGAATTCCACATCTTGACCTTTAATTGCGGTGACATTCGCCATTACAGGTTCAACAAATGTTGGCATCGATTGTTTACTGCATGCTGCAGCAAAAATTTCTCGAACATTTTAAAAAATTTTTAAATAAATTCTTTTTCAATTAAAAATTTCATTCTATTTTTAATTTATTTTTCAATCTTCTCAGGCTTTTAAAAAGAAAAAAAATGATTGAAATCATAAAAGCGCATAGTCTATATTTTCCCTTTTATCAGCGATTCATCCAAATTTGATAATTATAAATTACTCTCTAAGGTTGATTGTCCTTTTTTTTTTTTTTTTTTTTTTTTTGTGAATGCTTTCCAATCCAAAAAAAAAAAAATTGTAAAAATGCTTTTAAATATGTCATTAAATTTGCTTAAACAATTTTTACCATTTTCTCTTTCTCTCTCTCTCTCTCTCTTTTTCCTAAAAAATAAGATGAAAAGAAATAGAAATAAATTAAACTGAATGAAATTGAATCACTATTAAGAATCGATTTAAAAAAAAAAAAAAAAAAAAAGGAAAAAAGAAAAGGGAAAAAGATATCTGAATTTTAAATACATCCATTTCTTTCTTTTTATACTTTTAAAAGCAAACCTTTGATAAGATTACCTAAAACTGATAGTACAGTTTGTTATCAGTTACTGATATACAATTTTATTTTTACAGCAATTATTTCAATTCATTTAGTTGAAAATAGTGAAAAAAAAAAATTTTAAATAATTTATTATGAAAAATTTTTTATTGTAAAGCATTTTGCATATGATATGATAGTGATAATAAGCGATGATTTAGAACAAATTTAATAACATACTATGATATTCTACTGATATGATAGTGATAATAAGCGGTGATTTAGAACAAATTTAATAACATACTATGATATTCTACTGATATGATAGTGATAATAAGCGGTGATTTAGAACAAATTTAAAAAAAAGGGAGGTTTAATTTTTAACTTTAATAATTAATAAAATAGGATTTAATTTTAACAACTAGCAATAACTGAAATAACATTTAATTTTAATAATTAAATTAACAATCAAAGAATATAACACTTTTTTCCACATTAATTTCAGATGATAGATTATTTTACAATTGATTAAAAATCATTCTTCTATATCTTGTTTTAGAGCTATTGAAATTTTTTCAATTTAAACCTTTTCAGAAGTGCAGATTTATTTATTTATTTATTTTTTTATTTATTTTGAATTATCTTTAACTTTGTTTCATTTATTCTCTTTAAGTACCAATCTATTTATGCAGCTCATCTATCACTTTTATCTTCTCTTTCCTCACAAAATTAAAGAGAGAGAAAAAAAAAAAAACTTGAAGAAATATTTGAAGTTTTAAACGTTTATAAACTAGTTCTTTTAAAAAAAATACATATTTTTAACAGGAATTTTTCAAGAAATTCGATTTAATAGAAATATAAAAATAGATATTCATGTTAGTGAAGTTACTTATCAAATTTTATTATCCTAAATATTGCATGTTGAATTTTTTGAAATATTATTATTTTTCTTTTTAGTTCAAGAAAAAAAAAAAAAAAAAAACTATTTATATAAAAAATTATTGAAACTAACTGCCGAAGTAATACTTTTGTGAAAATTTGATTTTCTTTTTTTTTTCCTTTTTTTTTTTTTTTTTACGAAAGACAAAATTTAAGTTTGACAATTCAATTGATTATTCATATCGCAAAATTTGATGTTCGTGGATAAACGTTATTATAAATTATATTTCATTTCAATAAAAATTGCTTTTGCATTGATATTACACAATGATAATTACTACAACAATCATTGAAAAGAAAAATAATTGTTTAATATCAAATTTAAAATTAAAAAATTCACTTTACTGCATCTTTATTCTCGATGTGAAATACTAGAATTTTTTGTCAAAAATTTGATTCTACTTATCTGTCTTATTAGCTATTTTTAGTTAGCAAAACTTATATCAGTAACTTATCAGCATATCACTGTAAGACTTTATATTTTTAGTATTTAGCCTTTAAGTTAAAAACATTTGAGTCTTTCAAAAAGTATTAGCTTAGAAAAGTAACATAAAGTAATTCATTCCTTTTTTTTTATAGTAATATTTAAAAAATATTTAAAATTTACAAAAAAAAAAAAAAATTGTTTAATTTGTGTTATCTTAATTTGTTGGAGCAATTTGTAAATTTCAACAATCAACAATTAACGCATTCTTATTATAATAAAAAAGCTTAATGATATTATTAAGTAATATAAGTAGCAATTATCAGTAGTGATATTTTGAATTAAAATTTTTCACTTAGTAAATTTAAATAAAAAAAAAAAAAAAAAAGTAGACAAAAGTATTACCTTTAAAAATATAACAAAAGATGGGTGGTAGTAATAAAATAGAACTGGCAGACATAACTTTAAAAAAAAATAAAATTCTTTTGGATAAGTGTTAGTTAGACGAATGTAATGATTATAATGAATTCAACTTCTCAATTATATATCAATGATTTGTCAAATTTTAAATTTTCAGAAAAAAAAAAAAAAATGTGAAATTAAGCTTCTATTGAGTATGTATATGGCTTATAATAAGAAATGGCGAAAATGTCAACATTAGATCACTAATGATTGATATTTGTTAACATTTTAGAAATTTCTGGCATAAAAAAGGATGCACATGCTTATATTTACAAAATTTTAAAAAATTATTTAAAATTCTTCATTCCATTAAAATTATCAATCATTTATAGTGATAATGAAGTGAATGATATCACTGATAATAATTAACAAAGTTATTTTATATTTCAAAAAAAAAAAAAAGTTATTTACGTAACTTTTTGAAGTACAATTTTAATTCAAAACTTGTAAAATGCCTTCATTTTTGTTTTAGATAATTTAAATTTAGCTAGTTTAAATTGGGTAAGAACAAAAAAAAAAAAAAAAAAAAAAAATGAAGAAGACTTATTTATTTACTCGATGAGTATAGCAATGATTGTACTAGTAAATGATTGGGATATATAATTAAATTATTGTATTGAAATATTGCTTTTCATACTTTTCTCTCTTTTGATAGTAATCAATCTTTTAAGAAAATTTCATAAATGCATTTAGGGTAGCTTTTAAGTATTGTGATGTCCACTTTAATCATTCAAATTTCATCTGCAGTTGCATATTTCCGATTGGTAAATAAATTTTATTTGATATAAATAAGTACGAATATGCAATTTCAAATTCTATTGATCATATCTTTTGAGTAATAAATTAGGTGTAACTGCAATTTTGCTAGAGTGTAAAAATGAGAAAAAGAATTTAAAATCTTTAGATTAAAATGAAATAACTGATTTTTTTGGAAAAAAAAAACAAATATTTTAATCGCAAATTTTGTCATTTGAATCTTATTGTATGATTAAATGAAAAGTATATAAAGTATATAAAATTGATTACTTATAATAATTTCGAGAATAACTTTCATTTCTACAAGTTAAAGGTGAACAGAAAATACAAAAAAAAAAAAAGCATTACAACTCAGAAAACTTTGAAAAGTTTTCTGATTTTTAAAGATTTATATGAAGATACAGGACTACCCGAAACAGGTAAAATATTCTAACCACATTGCTTAAATTTCATGAATGCAGAAATATCTGGGCAATTAATCAGTTCATTTGAAGATTTTGCAAACTTACCAAAATGCGTTATTTGCACTATCAAGAATAGCTTTAATAGTAGCATGATAAAAGATTATTGAAATAAAACAGAGTTTTTCGAAAGCTTCTATCAAGCAATAATTCAAATTGAGATAATTATTAAAGACTCAAAGGGTCAATCAGCACTTTCAGTAGTTTATCAATGATCCTTCTTTAGCAATAGTTCAAAGGGCGCAGTTTAGAGAGCATAGGTCAATAAAAATAACAAGGAATAACTTATAACCATTGCAGTTTAACAGTTTTCATGGTGCTCTTCTCGATTAGCAGAAAACATTTTTTGAGATAAAATATGGTAAAGCCTTCAGTAAGTATTGTTAAGGACAAAACAAAGTAGAACATATGCTTAATTCTAATGGAAAAGCATCGCGTAAACGATTTCAAGCAGGCGGAACTGCGCTTTCAAAGAATGGGCGGACGGAACGGAATATATGTATATATATATATGCGCATTTGCTTATTGCCTACGAATCCACAGACGATCAAATTAATACAAGGACAGAAAAAAAGAAAAAAGTGTTGCATTCAAAGAGATCAAGCATTTCCGTTGGGATTTGTAATTGTTACATTTTAACAAATTGTTCCGTTATTGCTTAAAGAACTCATCTTCTGCTATAGTTTCCAGCGTTTTCGTTGAACTTTAGAAAACGCAATAAAACTCATAAATATTTATTCTCCTTTTACGTTAATCTCGTTGTATACAATTTGTAGGATATGAATGGAGTAAAAATTATCACCGTTTTGCAAAAATTAGTTCAATTGTAGTAGTTACACGAAATTGCTTTTTATCAAAACAAATTATTACAGCTACCGGTACACTTTAAATTAACTGCTTAAACGCTATTTTATTTCCATTTGTGGAAAAGGAGTACTTTAAAATAAGGATGCTTTAGAGTAATTCTCTAAAAAGTATCAGTATCCAAACGAGCAAACTCACAAAACTGATTTTTAGAACACAAAATTCGTTACAAATTTTACTCCAATGCCTATCAAATATTCTCCAACAAATCAATTTACAAAGGAAATAACTAGAAAAATCTAAAAATGATTATCTGGCGAATAATTTTCTGAACCACAGACTTGGGTAATCCAGAATTCGAAATATTCGTCGCATTTCTACTGATTCCTGGAATGAAAAAATTAAAATGTTTCTCATTTTCAAATAAAAAGATGATAAATAAGACATTCAAAACTAAAAAGCATGAAAGAAGGCTCAACAGTACCAATAAAGTCAAAAAAAAAAAGGTAATGCAAACAGACTAATAGATTATTTATAAGTAAAAATATACAATAAAAACACATATCATACTCTAACAGACATTGTTGAATGTGTAATTAATTTGTCTAATTTTCGTAACATAAAAAGGGAGAAATACTGTCTTCTTGTATGGTAATGTCTACTACTTACTTGCGTAAAAAGCGTTTTTTTAAAAAAAAAACTTTCATTAGCAACAGAATAAATCAAAGGAAAATTTCGACAATAATTGATATTGTCGATCATAAACTGCTTTTTCGTTATCTAATCAGTTAACCGGATCTTATTCATATAATACGAATTATGGGGAACATTAAGATGTGAAAAATATGCAAATTCATATCAGAGCAGAAACTAAATACTTTCCGTTCAAAGGACTTTCAGAAGGAAAACTTCATATTAGTGAAGGACAATAAAGTGGGAGTGTTAAGTTGGCATGATTAAAGAGATGCGGACAACACACCGCACTGAAAACAAAATTGCTCAACAAAATTGCTCAACAAAATTGCTCAAGTAATGATATGAGTAGTGAAGTGGGAATAAAATTCAAGGTATAAGTAGAAAGAGTTTTTTGTACTATTTATTAATGAATGACTATTTAACCTTCACCTTTTTAAATTTTTTCCCAAAAAGAAGGTTGGAAATAAGAATAAAGACGAGAAATCCAGATTAGGGAGTAGTTCAAACTTTGAAATGCTCATTTTGAAATCTAATCGAAGACCATTAAAAGAGTCTGAACGTAGATAGCAATAATAGACTTTAACAAGTTAATATAAAAAGGATTTAGTCTAAGAAAAGTTTGAAAGCTTAAAACATTGCTGAAGATTTACGAAACTAAAGATAGCGTATAATCAAGCTATAAAAATAAAACCATTGCCATACATCGTTTTGAGCATCTTGCAGACGCCAAGTATAGGTATCGTAAATCCAGTGAAGTGAAAAAGTGACATAATTATAAACCACAGGTACTTGTTATCGGTCACCGGTAGATACTGAAAAGCAAAAATAAAAAAGTTATCACCATTAAACTGATATAAGCATATTTGGAGTTATCTCTATTTTCATAATACCAATAAAGAAGATAGATAAGCTGCAGAACTGATCTACAAGTTCACATATAACCGCTTATTCTTCAATGCAAATAACGGATTAGTAAAGACGAGGTGTATTAGAAATCGCAGGCATATGTGTAAAATTGGACTTACGTAAAGTGACCATCCCGGGAACTTGGGATGTTTAGATGTTTGTGGCCCTAACATCATTGGACGTGGCCAATTCTTGCGGCCTGGTGGCTTTAAGCTATAATGACGTGCAGATACACGAGCCAAATCTAGTAAGTATCTGTTCATACTGTCACTAACAATAACTGCCTGCAAAGAACACATAATTAATAATCAGAATTTCAATTAAATAAAACGGTGAAATGATATGCGTAATAGTATTCTTAGCTAGCTGTTTTCCAATAAAAGATTAGCATCAGCTTAACAGGAGTGAGACATAATAAAGCAGTGATAATAAATTATAACCTAGAAAGACAATGCCAGTTGTTAATCAGCGAAAAAGCAAACAAACTACACTGCAAAAGTTTAATCATCCCAAAAACACAGCATTACATTCCTAGGAAATATTACCGCGGTGAATATTACTTTCAGACATAAATTTTGAGCCAAATAAATTTCTCAGCCAAAGAACTATGACCTTTGTCCCCAACTAACTAGTAACCCTGTCGCCTGACAACAACCTTGTCTACATGTACTCATCAGTAATCTCAAACCACTGATGAAACGAAAACAGGACAGAATGCAACGCATGGATCTCATGCTAGGAAAAATGCTTAATGATAAATATACGCAAACATATCAATTAATTATCACAGCGCTAATTTATTTATTAACTTATCTTTGAAATAATAACAATTAGTGGAATAGCTATAGAGCTAAATTCTTACACAATATCTCCTATTGTCCTAATATACTTTTACTATCATCATACTTGTTAAAATATGAAATCAATCATAGCATGTAAATTCCTTTGATCGAACTAAACTAATCATTGAAATTAATCAATAAGCTAAACTTTCTTCCAAAATTCTGTAAAATCAAATTGTTACACATACTTCTTTGATTTATACATTTGATGTAAAACAAAAAAAAAAAAGAAATCAATCAGGTATTTTTATATGAATTATACTATCACAACATCAAATGATTATTGCACTTATAAGTTATCTAATTCTTTTGACCGAATCACATATTGGTCCTTTTTTTCTTTTTCTTTTCTGAAATAATATTCAATCTTGTTTACGATCAAATGATGACTAATCATACATGACCAGTGCATCCTATTATTGCTCACATCAATTGCTTCCAGTTGTGTAAGACGGAAAGCAAACAGTCTCTCCGGTAGCTTACGAGCGGAAAGCAAACAGTCTCTCCGGTAGCTTACGAGCGGAAAGCGACAGACAGAACTTTGCTTTAAACATCTTTCAATGATGTCTGCTGCCGTTGCCGTTGCTGCTTAGCAAGGTGGTCATTGTTTACATTCAGTATTATGAAGCAACTCGAAGCTGTCATATACAGGTATGTGATGTGTATTCTATCATTCCATATACAGGTGTATGCTTTATAAATTATGCAATGTTGATATATTCAAGGTATGTGAAATCATCATGGATCATTCGTGCTCCCTTTTAGAGCAAATTCTTTCTCTTTCATATTTTTAAACTGATTTATTTTTAGAGGTTCATATTTTTGTGCATTTTAACTATGATACTATTTGCTGACATTGCTAGAATGGTATTTATCTGATATTATATGTATGTTATTCTGGTGTATAAAGAAGATATTTTTTGTTTTTTTTTTTTTTTTTTTTTGTATGAAATTTTTTAGAAAACTCAAACTGCAATGTAAACTCATTTCAGATTATAAAAAAATTTCAATTTTGTGTGGCATTCAAATTTTCAAGATAGTTCGTTCATATGTAAAAAGAAATTTTGAATGCATGTGAATCAGTCTATCAGAAAATTCTTTCTCATTTGCATGATCAATGCTCTAATGAAAGCAGACTTATGGACTGAAACAGAGCGAATGAGTGACTTACAACAGGTTTTAGAGTTTTTAAAAATTTTTAAATTGTCATATTTATCTTTTAGTATTGATTATTCTCAATTCAAAAGATTAGTGAAGAACTAAGTGCATTTTCATTTTTTTTTTTTTTTTTTTTTTAAAGTGGAAAACTTTTAAAAATTTATATTTAATCATTAAAAAAGAAAAAAAAAAATATTTTTCATTTTACAGTGGCGCACTTTATGTGCTCGATATACAGTTGCGCTAGCTTACATGAAAGATTCAAATGCACGCATTACAGTTTTTGCACCAGTTAATGATGTGTTTAATTATAATCCAGATATCCGTGCTTTAAGTCAAAAGGAAGTTTTGAGTCATATTGGTTAGTTTGACAGTAAGAATGAAATTTGTTTAAATTATGTTTAAATGTTTAAAAATTTCATTCTTTTGATTTAATTTTAACCAAACTTAAAACTATTTTAAATTACGATGTAGCTTCAAAGAGATTGAAAGCATTTTTCATTCATTTATGATATATTCTTGTTTAAATCATGAAAACATTTTGCACTAATTCTTGATTTTTTTTCAAACAAATTTTCTTTTCCAGTTGATACACAAATTTATGAGCTTGGTGAAAATCAAAAATGGGATAAACAAACACTTATTCGAAGTACAGTCAGTAGCGGATATATGTACATAACACAGTTTGTAAATAATCCTGGAAATTATGTATGTCTTACATTTTGTTTAGATATAGTTATTATTTTTTAATTCTAAACTTTATTAATTTTTATTTGGATGATCAATTAATCATTTACTTGCCTATTAATTGACAAATCAATAATAACAATTAATTACTTTCTGTTTAATTATTTATTCACATTTGCTCAATTACATTAATACTTATTTACTTTATTCAATTTCTCATTTTCATTTTAGTCTTACTTTGCAAATAATGGAATGCTTTGCAATCATGCTACCAATGAATGGGCTATTATTAATGGTCAACAATATCTGTTCAAAATTTGTACACCAATTGGACATCGACCATATCCGGGAACCACACTTTCGTTTACAAGAGATGCAGACAAAATGTCTTTCTTTGATCGACCTTATAATAACCGTGACCTCACGTAATACATTTAAATGAAAATTAATTGACCATAGGAAAAGTTTGCTAAGACATGCAATTGTTGAGAATCCTATGCTTTCTTCATGTATTTATTTCATCTTTCATTTTCTGTCTTTTAAAAATGAAATTATTTGTAGATTTGTTTTAGTGAATTGAGGGATGTGCTCGATCGTGTACCAGATGTTGCATTAGCAATCTTTGGCAGTTCAGCATGGAATGGCTTCCATACTTTCTTTTTACCTACAAATGAAGCATTTTTAAAAGTATATATTAGCTTTTATAAAAAAGCTACTCATCTATTTTTGGGTTGATCTGTGCTATTTGTAAAAGCATCTATAATAATATGTCACAATTTATTAGTTGACATCGACTTTTGTCATTATATATCTATTTAGTTTTTAATTTCTTAAAACTAACCAATATTGTCATTTTTAGATTCTATTATTATTTCAGAAAGTTCAAAACTTTTTAGGTAATAGATCGCAATCGCATAGATCGTGAAGTATTATTGGCTCATATAACGGGTATAAACAGGGTACTTTTCACTTATCCATGGCTTTATGATCAAGGTATACACTATTATCCGTCGATCCGTTTCTCTGGTAATGTTATTGAGGATAATTATGATCTAAGATTATGCATGCGAAACATCACCGATCATCGAACTGGACGATGGGACCGTAAGAATCATAAAATATTTTTTAGTTTTATAATTAATTAAGAAACTTTAGCAGAATTAATCTTATTTGAAGATTATCATGCATCCATATTTTTCAGATTTATGACATTTTCTAACAGTTATCTGTTGTTAATATCACAAAACATTATTTTCCTAACAGAATCACTGAGTAATCTCTGTCTAATAAATCCTTATCACTCAATTTAACTTATACTTTATTACTGGTAGTTTATGCGGTTTCCGAAGTGCATGAACGTTACGGACAATTTCGTCGTGGTGCAGTTTGGGCCAAAATTGTTGTGCCAAATATTCCGGTTCAAAATGGTGTAGTTCATATTATTGATAATGTTCTTGGCATTGTTACCAATACCATTGATCAGGTCTAGCTTTTTATTTATTATGTTTTATTTCAAATGTCAATTGAACTGCTCTGTAATCTAATAATTTAAGTTTTAAAGTTAAATTTAATTTTTTTTAAAGTAACATCAAGTGGAGAGATGAAGGTTTATGGAATACTAATTTTATTTGGCGTTTAATTTTTTTTACAATATGTTATCTTTTTGAAGAAACAGTAATTTATTGTAAGCACTCATTATATTGATAAATGAAAATAAGCAAAATTCAAATCATAACTGGATTAATAGAAAGTATAAATTCTTCGTGTAGAAAATTGGAAATTAGAGCTTAAATATTTGAAAACAAAAGCTGTTTGAATTTATAAAATTATGAATGTTACTTTCATTCATTTTTATTCCAAAGATTAAAAAATATATTTCAAAAATTTTAATTGCAAAAAAGAATCACAAAATTGAAAATAGAGTTTTCATTTTTGAAATACTGAACCGAACTATAGTCTTAATTGCAAATATATTTTGAAATATGTTTAAAGTATACGGAAGCATTAATATTTCACCAAAATGAACTATGCTTCGATTTTTTCTTCTTCCTGTTGAACAGTTAAGAATACTTTTGCAAGTTTTCTCGACTTATTTTAAACTATTCATGTCGAAGTGCTGTCCATATTTCTTTTCTGATATTCAAGCTATCGATTTATTCTATGTATCAAAAAAAAAAGAAAAAAGTTAAATAATAAAAACCAAATATTCATTTAGTGAAGACGGAAGGGAATTATTTTGCTTCAAAATAGTTTAATTACGCCAAAAAGCCCATTTTTATATTTTTCGGTATTGAGAATAATTTCTTTTTCAGCTTATTATGGATAATAATCATTGTACAACTTTAATCCGTTATATAAGTATGATTGGACAAATAGTCCGAAATTATTTCTCAGCAACTGGTGGTATGGTGACATTTTTTGCGCCGTATAATGAAGCATTCGAACGAATTCCCGAATATATCGAAAGAAGACTTTTGAGAGATCGAATTTGGCTTGAAAAAGTATCTTTACATATTTTCCATTCCCTGATCATAAGTTATATCAAAAAAAAAAAAAAAAAGATCGATGATTTCTGAATTCTGGAATGTTTTGTTTTTATTCTTTATATTTTATAAAAAAAAAAACAATCAATCGGTATTCCAACAAAAATTTGTAATTATAGGTTCTTAAACTTCATATTGTACCTAATAAAGAGCTGACCAGTAATGAAATCACTAATGAGACGGTTGTAAATACAGTGGACAACATTCATCAATTATATTTCATTCGAGGCGAATGGCCCAGGAATAATATCAGTAAATTTTTTTTTTTGATGCTCAATCTGTGTGTTAAATAACTCTCACTAATGATTTCTCTACATTTTTACTTAATTATTTCACTTACTCAATTGTTACTTACTTACTTAATTATTTCACTTACTCAATTGTTACTTACTTACTTAATTATTTCACTTACTCAATTGTTACTTACTTACTTAATTATTTCACTTACTCAATTGTTACTTACTTACTTAATTATTTCACTTACTCAATTGTTACTTACTTACTTAATTATTTCACTTACTCAATTGTTACTTACTTACTTAATTATTTCACTTACTCAATTGTTGGTTACTTACCTAATTATTCTTTCAGCTTATTATGTTATTGGTGGTGGTGTACGAGCAGCAATTATGATGGATAATGTCGCAGCTGTGAATGGTATTGTACATTATATCGACCGTGTACTTGGAGTACCGTATCAGACGTTGTATGAAATTATGCAAAATGACTCCAAACTTCAGTAAGTATCAATCATTATTTATCGTAGCTATAAAAAAGAAAACGCTTATTTCTTCAGGATATCTTATTCAATGCTTGAAAATCTGCAACTACGATATTCCTTAGATCCATGGCAAGTTCTAACACCACAACAAAATTTCACATTTTTTGTACCAACTAATGAGGCTTGGGATAAGGTATATTTATCATGCTATGTTTCCTTTTTTCTTTTTTTTTTTTTTTTTTTTTTTTTTTTTCATTAATTTTTATTTTTTTTTTTTTTTTTTTTTTGCATTTTATTGTTGTACCTGTATTTTTTTTTTTTCATTTATTTATTTTCTTACCACTTTTTTTTTTATCTCTTATAAAGTAAATTTAATTCCTGCAGATATCAGCTTCGCAAAAGTACAAAATGACTGATGGCAAACATTGGTTAGCACTTCAGTATGTCTTTAAACGACACATTATTCAAGGTCTTGCACTTATGTATACCGATCTACGAGAGCGAACTTATGTAATGATGAACGATGAAAAAGTGGTGATACGTCGAAGAGGACGTTGTTCGTTTAAATTTTTTCAAAAAAAAAACAACTTGAATACTCTAAAGGCTATGATAATATCTTATACTATGAGAGAAAAAAAAGAAAAAAAAAAGATATTTTGATAAAAAATTTTATGTTTGATATAATGAATTGTTCTTATTAGTGTATTATTATTATTATTATTATTATTATTATTATTATTATTATTATTATTATTATTATTATTATTATTATTATTATTATTATTATTATTATTGTATTATTATTATTATTATTATTATTATTATTATTATTATTATTATTATTATTATTTTAAATTGGTCTACGAAAAATAGATGAAAAAAAAAAAAAAAAAACTATCAATCCTTTAAAAGAGTTATATCATTGAGTTGAAAAAATTATTTTTTCTAGTTTTCGAGCTTTATTGGCCTCGTGGTAATCGTGTTGCACATATAATCCCGGGCGGTGAAAAAGCTGGTATCAATGGTTTTATGCATATGATTGATAACGTACTGATCTATGAGCGTGATCTAGAAGCTTTGGCTTGCTCAACGCTAAATTTAGCGCATTTTTTGCTAACATCATTTTTCATATACATCATATTATATTATTAACAATTAATTGTCACTTAAAATGATGAAGCAATGTGCTAGAGTTATTCAACTTTTTCATTGCATAAGCAAAAATAATCACTTTATAAGTTATCAATATTATGATAATGTCAAATAGACATATTTGTTGTTCTCGAATTATTCTGATATTGTCATTTTTGCCATTGTCATCATGAATTGTCAAATTGAATTTTTTAATTCTATAAAACAATTTGTTGTAATCATTTTGACTTCATTGTTACTATTCTTTACATTTCTGCCCTACTCACAATTGCGACAAGGATAACATTTTATCAATCTATTTCAATTACAAATGATAAACTGATCAGTGTATTTTAAAATGTATGAAAAAATTAATTCAAAAATATTTGCATATCACATTGCTCAGATTCTAAGACATTTCTTTTTTACTGATTTTCATAGTTTGGAACTCGTTCTTAAAATTAACATTTTTAATCAGAAAAATATTACTGCAGGGATTCTTTTTTTTTTTTTTTTTTCTTCTCCCCCATCTATCAAACGTTTCATTGATTTTCGTTTATCACAGAAGTAAACTTCATTGTCGATTTGATTTGATCCGTATAATGGTGAGACAAAAACGAAAAGAAAGGAAATAGAAATTTTATCATTTCTTCTTCCCATATCCGTATATCATCATTCTTTCCATTCCATTTTTTTTTTTTTTTTTTTTATCAATGGACAAGTTTTTGGTTTAATTTTTGCATGAATCGACATCACTTCATATCACAATCAAAATGGCTGTTGTTGAAATTTTTATCGGAAATTTTCACTTTATATTACAAATTATAGTAATTGTTATAACAAATTATGATATAGTCAAAGCTGAAGGTGTTAAACAGGTAAATTTTTGATCTTCTTATCATTCTATTATCACAGGGAGCTTAAAAGTTCACTTTTTAAAAAAGCGAATGGATAAATTCATCACGGAGATATTGTTTGGAAAGATTTTTTTTTTGCTTTTTTATTATTAGATGAATGTATGCTATGCTATTTTATTTCTCTTCCGGATCAGGAACAGATTAGAAAATTTGAACAGTAAGTTAGAATTTATTTCTATTCTGAATATTTAATCAATAGTTTCTTTTTTTCGACTTATTTATATTTTAATTGTGTTATATGTATGCAAAATATTTTTTCACAATTCGTTAGATGTAATTTTAAATGATAATTATCAATCTGTTAAGCATTTCAAAAAAAATTTCTCCAATTTTTCCACTTCAATTCATTGTTCCATTTTCTGTAGCACTAAATTATATCTTTTTGAGATGATATATTTACAAATGATTTATTAATAATAAACCCAATAATTTCATTCATTTCATTTAATCGAATCTTCTTACTATAAAATATTTTTTTTTTTTACAAATTTTATTTTTTATTTCTCTGATGATAAAAATAATTGAAAATAAGCAGTTGTTTGTATAATCGTAAAAAACAAAAAAAGTCCATCATTGTTACTATAAGAGTTGAAATTGAAATTTGAATATATTAGTAAAACATTTTTAAAAAAAAAAAATTATAAAAACTTTATTTTGCAATTACTGAAGAATTTTATTGACAATAATCACAAAATAAACGATGAAAATATTATACGATGTTAGTTTAAACTTTAATTCTTTTTTATATTATATACATTTTTATATCATAAATTTTACCTAGATATTTAAATTTTTACCTACATAAGTTAAAACACACTTATAAAATGTTTGAAATTTCAAAAAAAAAAAATGCTATAACTGAAAACAAATAAACAATGATCACAATGAACAAATAAACAATAAACAATGCTTTTGTTTTTTGTTTGTTTGTTTGTGTGTTTTTTGTTTTTTTTTTTTTTTTTTTTTTTTTTTCTTTTCATTAGAAATAAAAAGAAAGCGTAAGAAATATTTTAGGAATTACGAAAACATTTTGCATATGATGATAAGCATATTAATGTTGTAAGCTCATTATTGTTACAAATGAAAGAAATTGCACACAGTCAAGCTTACGGAAATCGCGTATTCAGTCGTGACGTACGTTTAAATATATCAAAATTTTTTGTCATTCATTTAATCATAAATGTTAAATGTTATATCATTATGATTACAAGTTTAAAAATATGAATTTATTTTATATAAACTATAATCAAAATTATTTTTAGTATTTTATTGAGAATAATAAGTTTCATACTAACTTGAATTAATTAAATTTTCATTACTTAATTATTTAAATTTAAAATTTTCATTATTAATTAAATTTCAGAGTGCTGTTGATAGCAAAAAAGATGTTTCAATTAGTGCAGAACAACCAAAAACAATTAGTAAATTAACACCTTACTTATTTGAAGGTTATTTTTTTTTTCTTTTTTCCTTTTTTTGTTAGTTAATTTTTTTTTTTTTTAAAGAATTTTTTTTTTGTTGGTAAAATTTAGTTAAAAAAAATAAATCTTACAATATGTTTGTAAAATATTTAAATGGAATATATTTAATAAAAAAATCTTTTTTTGAAATATATTTTATAGGTGATATATTTCTTTCAACAAAACAAGCAATGAATATATTGGACTCATTGGCTAGCAAAAATAAAACAAATAAAAAAGGCCAACAACGTATGGCACATGATGCACCGTTATATTTATTTAGAGGAGCTAACGAAAAAGGAAAACGTTTTGCTGCTGAATATGATGCTAAGTGGTTTCAATTTCCAATAAAATATCGATTTGATGAATCACTTGGTCAGTTAATAATTTTATTTTATATCAAAAAAAAAAAAAAATTTTTTTTTGAAATAAAATTTTATTTTTTTCTTCCTAATAGTTTTATCATTTGAGATATTCTACATATCAGTCAAATTTTAAAAGCTCTGGAAATATGGCAAAGTAATACATGTATTAAATTTGAAAATGATCAAGAAGCAAGCGGTGATTATATCGAATTTTTTGAAGGTGATGGGTAAGTCTACTTTACGCTTAAAATAATGGGTAAGTCTGTTTTATATTTTGAAATAAAACAGCATTTATAAACTATTTACAAAAAAAAAAAAAAAAAAAAAATAATTAATTAATTAATTGAATCGTGAATATAAGCAAAATTTTAGCATCATTTTTGCAATAATTATTATAGGTGCTATTCGATGGTCGGTCGTTTTGGTGGTAGACAAGGAATATCAATTGGAAAAGGATGTGAAAGGGTAAGTAATAAATACCTCATTTATATCATCTTAAATCATTTATATATTTAATTTAAATTACTTTAAACAATAATACATTCTTTAAAGGATTCTAAATTACTTTAAACAGTAATGCATTTTCTAGGTGATTCTTAGGAATAAATTTTTTTGATATATATATTTTTTACTTTTTTTAATCAAAAAATTCTTGGAGATTATTTAGAAGTATTTCTTTCTTTCTCTCTTTTTTTTTTTTCATTAATTAATAGCAATGAAGATATCTGTGTTAATTTTAAATATTTTTTTAAAAATTCATTACATTTTTTTTTTTAGACAGGTACTATAATACATGAGGTTGGCCATACATTAGGCTTATGGCACGAGCAATCCAGGCCTGATGCTGAAGAATATATTACGGTAGTAAAGGAATATATAATACCATCCTATATTAGCGAATTTTTGACACGAAGCGAACATGAAATTACAACTTTTAACGTACCGTACGATCTTGGCTCTGTCATGCATTATGGTTCGACAGCATTCAGTATAGATCAGAGAAGCAAAACACTTCTAACAAAGTAATTAATTAATTAATTAGCAATAACTATAGTTAGCTTTTTAGAGAATTATTTAAAATAAAACTTATTGCAGGGATCCATTCTATCAGATGACAATTGGTCAACGTGACTCATTATCTTTTTATAATATCAAATTAATTAATGAAGCCTATTGCAAAGGTAACTTCAAATCTATGCTTTAGTTTGAAATTTAAATTAATTACTGAAGCCTATTGCAAAGGTAGCTTCAAATCTATGCTTTAGTTTGAAATTTAAATCAAAATTTAAACTAAATGCAAATTACATTTCAATAATTTTTAAAAATAAAATAAAAAAAAAAAAAACTATTTTTATTAATGCAGGTGATTGTAAAGAAAAAAATGAATGTAAAAATGGTGGTTACCTGAATCCCAGTAATTGTCAAAGTTGCCTTTGTCCAAGTGGTTTTGGTGGTTCAAAATGTGAAATGCATGCTTCAAGCGAATGTAAATTTATTTGTTTGTTTACACTTTTTTTTTTTTTTTTCGAAGTAAAATATTATCAATTAATTCAAATTAATTTCAAAAATTATATTTATCATTTTTATCCCTTTTTTTAAATTTAAATTTTCGAAATTTTGGACAAAATTTTTAATTGAAAGATATTAATAAAATTAGTTTTATAATTTTGTCTTTGCTTACGTTATCAAAATGCTTTAGCAGAATGCTTCAGCGAATAGCAAATGTGGTGGAACGTTGAAAGCTATAATTGATTGGCAATATATTGAATCACCAGGATATCCCGATGGATATCCAACAAATGTCATATGTAATTGGCTTATTGAAACTGATAAAGGTTGATGAATTTTTTCTTTTTTTCTTTCTCAATTTAAAATATAAATTTCAAATTTATATTTACACTTTTTTTAATCTCTAGTAATCTCTGACATTTTCTTTATTGTATTAAATACCTTTAGAGGAAAGAATTGAAATCAGTTTCGAAGATAATTTCGGCATATTTTGTTCCAGTACTTGTGTTGATTATATCGAATTGAAAATTGGCAATGATTTGGCTAATACTGGTTACAGGTATTTTTGAATTCATCTTATTCTATTGTTATAAAAATTTTCCAATTAGACATTCAAAATTATCAATATGTTACTTTGCATCAAATATATTATTAAATTTTTACATAAATCTTTAATTAAGTTTATGTGTATATATAATTTTAAAGTTTAGATATGATAATTCATAATTTCGTATTTTTTTGATATAAAATTAACTAAGCATTTAATATATGCATATATTAAACCTAACAAAATATGTTATATGCTTAATTTTACTTCTTATAAGCTTTTCACATTGAATGTTAGTTACTTTTACTTCTTCTCTAGATATTCAATAATTTCTTATCCTTTCAAAAAAAATTTGATATTAACTATATTGATAAGAATTTTAAATAATACAATTGTAAACGATGAATATAAAAGTGCTGCAATCATAGAACTGTTAGCTTCAAAATATAAATATTATTGTTTACTATAGTTTAATATTTTAAATTTAATATTTACATTTGACAGAGTTTAATATTTAGCTTTATAGTTAATTTTATTTGAGATACAAATATTTTGATATTTCACTATAATTTTTCATTAGAATTTCATGAAAGAAAAATCTTTGTTCGATTGATAAACAAAACATAGCAGAGAAATAATAATACGTATGAATAAATGTTAAATAGGTAAGAAAGTAAATAAAAAGAGGAGACGAAATCTCAGGATATGCTGCTACGATAAGCCAAATGATTCATTAGTCTCGGCAAAATATCAGGCTGTCATCATATTTCGTGCGACAACAGGCGAAGATACTGGTTTCAAGCTTAAATTTCGAAAAAGTACGTAATGCATACATTTTTGAAAGTAAATTTCATAGAGATATGTGAAATTCTATTATTATAATTTCAATTTTTTTAGCTATGAAACCAGCTCAAACAACTCCTTCATTACCCAAGACGACAACAACAGGTACAAGAGACTAACATATATGCAAAATTTAATTTGAATTTAAGTTAAATCATCGTTTTCTTAGAAAATATCATATTATTACAAATGTTTATCATTAAATGATCACATATCATTTGACATTATAATTGTTTAGTTTTTTTTTAAAAAAAAAAGAATTTCACTTTCCTTTAAATCATAAATTTATTATGGAATAGTTTAAAGATAAGAAAATCTGCTGATTCTTTTAGAAAATTTATTACAAATTAAAAGACAATGAAATGTTTTTTTTTGTAAAAACTTAAAAATGAAATTTTAGCTCCTCATACAACAATAGTTGGAAATGATATCTGGTCCGAATGGGGTGAATGGTCACAATGTTCTCGTTCCTGTGGTGCATGCGGTATAAAGTCTAGGCTTCGAATATGTAAAACTGCTCAGTGCAGGTTTATTTATTATTATTATTATTATTATTAGCATACACTCAAATTACATTTCAATTAAACAACTAAAATTTTAGTGGTAAAGTTCAACAGTTCTTAACATGTAACTTACAAGCATGTCCAGTGGATATCAGATGTACCAAAGTTAAATTCAAGAATCGATTATGTGCTGATGGTAACACCTGTGGCAAGTATATTTTTATTCATTAATGATAGTAATAATATGATAAGAACAAAATAGAAGCATCAATGATTAGAAGATAAAATTATAGCTGACAGTGATAACAAGTAATTTATCAATCCTTACTTATCAATTGTTAGTTTCATTGTATTTGTTATCATTAGATTTTGTTAGCCTTAGTAAATTAATATTTAAAATAGTTTATTTCACATTCTTATAAATTCATTCATTTATAGTTATTTCTAATAATTTTTATTTCACACGAAATTTGCCCGAGATTTAACTTCTAGACCTGGAGAACTGTTATCAAGTTGCAGTCGACCAAGTTGCTGTCCACCATTCGAGAATGTTGATGGTAAATGTCAAACTGATCAACCTCTATTGATTCCACTCGAATAAATCCTCTAGTCTATCTACTTGTAAATGTCAATTCTTTTGCTATTTTAAACTGATCCGACTTAAAGTTTTTAAAATTATTGTTCGAAAATTTTTAAAAAACTAATCTCCTCCACTTTTTTATGAAGATTTCTATTCGAAACAAAGAAAAAGAATTATTTTTAGTCGTTTTAATAAAAGTTTTACGAGAAATACCACTTTTTTTAGGATAAAATTTGCTACATATTTATAAAATTTGCTATGGTTTTCCCTCGCTTATTCTTCATCTTCCAAAATAATTCATAAAAAGAAAAAAAAACTTAATTTTGAAACTCTGCACTACACTCCTCTTGAATACATATCGTTGATTCCATTCTCATTTATAACAATCGCCATATCAGTTTAATTGAATGATGTTTGAGTAAAAGTAAAGGAACCATAAATTATTGTAATATAATTCGCACTAAAAAGTAATACCACAACATTTATAATTAAGTTGATTTTTTAATGGTAACGTTACCAATAAAGAAATATCTAACCTATCATTTTTGGAAGCAAAAAAAGAAAACTTCCCACTTCTCAATATTCTGACCATCAATCACAACAGGAATTTAGATATTTAGCTAAACAATTATTTCTGAAATGACAAACCGATTCCTCACAAATGATTGCGCTGAGAAGTTGTGAAAAAATTCGTTCCGATACTTTGGATATGGCAGCTTCAAATCTTAAAAACACACTGAATATCACTGATAGAGATGTAAAAATAAAATTTTTAAAAATAAAATCTTTCTCTATTTCAAAGACAGAGGAATTTGAATAAACAAAATTTTATCGAACACAAAATGCTGATAAATTAAATGATATAAGCAGTACAAGGAAGATGAGAAAGAAACGGGAAGATATAATAATTCATAAATTTCATGCACTACAAAGCAAAACATAACAGTGATAAAAAAAGGGCATAAATCTTTAACATTAAAAAAAAATTAGGAAATGATGATACTGGTCAAAGCCGACGAGTACAACCAAAATATATTATAAATATTTTTAAGGGGTGAATGAGTCACTTCAATTTTAATTCAAACCCTACTTAATATGGACTAAATAGTTAACTAGATTCTTTCATTACTCATCAATAGTCTAAAAATATAGGAAGCTTTACTATTCTTCACTGGCAGCAAAACCAAAACAACATTATATCCTTAAAAAAAGTATATTCTTTCGAAGCAATAAAAAAAAAACAACATAAATTATCGTTTGCTTTTTTTTTTTTTGAAAGTCATAAGCTAAAACTATGACAAGTAAAAAGTACATTATTCACATTTTTTTTTTTTTTCAAGAAAAGTGGTCATATTTTTGATTACTTGGAGTCTTGATTTTAAAAATTCATATTAATTAAACTGCATTTGGAACTTGATGAATTAAAAATTTTAAGCACCAAAATAAAATTCTTTCAAAGTATTATTAGCAAAATTCCTTAATATTGAATGCTTTTTTCATATAAAAATTTGGATTTTTAAAGCCATTCGAAAGATATCATCAAACAAAGAAAGCACAGACTTGGAAATGAATTCAAGAAAATTTGAAATTTTTTTAAACAGTCCTTAAAAAAAGTCACATATACAAAATCACGATAACTTTCACGATAATTTTAAGTCTACTTATGCAAAGTAGCGCAACCAAATAATAAAATAATGAAGATTATCTGTATGTGTGTGTATGCGCGTGTATGTGTGTATGTGTGTGTGTGTGTGTGAGTGTGTGTCGACAAATGACATACGAGATTCTGATTGATGAAGTGAAAAAGAACTGTACTATTTCAGAAGAGATTCTTTGCTTTGCTTGGGCTATAATAGTTCATATTTCAAATTTGAATGCGGCACAAATATCATCAGTACCACCACTAGATAGCCTTAGTGTACAACGCTCAACCGAGCAACGTAAACTGATACCCGCTTCAGCTATTTCATTGGCCTGAAAAAAAAAAAAAAAGCAAAATATTATAAAATGAATAAATGCGAAACTGCATTGATTCACTAGGAAATAAAAGCCAATCTAAATAAAAGTAAGGGTGACAAAAAAAAAAAATCAAAAAAATGTTAATGAAGAATAGAGTAGGAGATCGAAACTTGAAAAAAAAAAAAAAAAAAAAAACACAAAACACAAAAAATCATTGATATCATCATCAAAAAAGTATAATTTATTCAAAAAAAAAAATTTTTTTTTTCTAAAAGCGTGAATAGAACGCTTGGCTTCCCTAATTGCAGTGAACAATTAAGTAAGCATACTACGTTGTATTCTTAAGCATATTTTGTAAATAAAACTTACAATGCTTACCGCAAAAATCGTTTAGTGTAATTCCTTTCTAGTTAGCTGACTCGACAGTTTTACCTCACTACTTCATTTTAACTATCAACATATTTTGCTTTTTATGTTGGGTTCCTCTGATGCTACTTTCTTGCTAACATCGCTATCCTCACAGTATTCGTAGTATTTGGATTTTAGATAAAGCAAGAAGGAAGTCTCTTCCAGTTGTAGATATTTATTATGAAAAGAAAAGTAAAAACTTACTTTTTCATGGCTATACAATGTCAGTTCATCGCTATCATGTGTTGGAAGTACATCTACTTCAAGCTCTAAAAAATCCAAAACCATACAAAATATTAGTATAAAAAAGAACAATGAAGCACTACTTCTATGCAGCCTTTTTGATTTCTTTTTTAGTTCCAAAAAAGCAAACCATAAATCATTCAGTAATTTCTTCTTATTTTCTGATTTACTTTTTTTTTTTTTTTTAACAAATATTATTTACGACTGAACACATCGATATGCTTTACTTTGTATTTAACTAAAGTTAACCTGGTTTATTCCATGCTGCTTTACCAGCAATAAGACCGTCTATAAAATGTGTTCGTATTGAATCTTTCCCACTCAACACATAACGCCTAAAAAAAGATATGCATTAGTAACAAAAGGAAAAAAAAAAACGAAACAAACAATAGTAGAAGCATTCTCATACATTAATCAGTGTACGATATTTTCAAATTCACAAATCTTCTCTCTCTTCGTATCAAAGCAATCTAGCAATCTATAGCAAAGCCATCTTTGGTAGCAATAATACATAAAAATATTCATTTTTTTTTATAGCCTACATTCAAAATGTACATTGTTAATTAGCAAGTGATATATTTCTTTACCAAAAGGAACACAGTATGCAGCTTTAATAAAATCACATATGATTTGTTAAGAAAAAAAGGAAAATTTTGTAAAGATGAATCTGTAGTAACTAACAGATTTTTTGATAAACTTGAAAAAAAAAAAAGGAAATCAATGATGCAAACCTTGATCGAATGCTAGTTACAAATGCTTTTGCTGCTTCTTCGTCTTTCAATATAGGATGAGCACCATGATGAGGAACGAAAACAATATCGAAATAGAGTGGTTGAGATAGCTTCGGTTTAGTTTTTACACCATTAACGATTGGTTTCGCACGTGTTCGAGCAGCACTTGTCATAGGTGGAAGATACATTTCTTCTGCACGCTTTTCTTCATACATATTTTGATCCTAGAATGTAAAATGTTGACAAAAGATAGAAGTAGAAGTAAAAGAATATGATTTCAATTTATCAAATTTGACCTTGAAATTTATGACATACTTTTTACTTCATTAGCAACTTGATGAAAGAATAATTGCAATCGATAGCTCCTTATTTCTCAAAATTACTTTCAAAGTATAAATAAAAAGACTTCTTTCTTAGAATATTCAAGCAAACTATGTAGTCAATAAAAGCTAAGCTTCTAACACAATAGTCTAACTAGTAGATAGATTCCACATGAATCAGAATACTGGCTAATATTTCGTATAATATTGACACATGAGAGAATGTGGAATCTAAATGACCTAACTAAAAACGACTATAAAATAAAATATACCGCAAGTGCATTAGCATTATCATTGATATCATGAGTTATATTGGTGAATTGTCCATCAAGTACATCCCCAATATTCAATTGTCCCATGCAATTTGGTAGATTCGTTTCGGTTGCTGATTGCGCATTATTGATTACTTGTGTCGTTAGACCTTGAACATGACGTTCTAGTTCAGATATCGGTTTTCTTGCATTATCAACCATTTCTGATGCTTCAGCTAGCGAATCAATTACTTCATCTAGAGCTGGATCTGGCTAAAAATTGATCAATTACATAGTACAACTTCCTCAGAATTCACACACTTTACATTAAACGAATTTCGATTACTACAAAATATAATGATTATGTCATCTTGATTGCACCACATCGAAAAAACACCTTAAGCAAAATGTTTAGTTCTTATCCTGTATTGATTATATCAATAAATCACAACAAACATAGACAAAATGTAATAACGCTATGCACTAATCTCATTACTTTTCTGAAGTAGAAAGAGAATCTCCAAACACACCTGAGCAAGAACGGAATCACCTGAACCACTGCTTCGAGCCGGAAATGTTTCACGCTTGATACTGGATGACATTTGTGCCTAAAAGTTGTTTAGATTATTAGAAATGGCTACGTAAGCGAGCTTACAAAATTCATGTAATAGGTGGACATCTCGTTAAGCAGATGCTGCAATGAAATTAATAGAAATTAATCTTTGAAATCTTTACCTTTTCAGTTTCCTCATGTAAAATCTTCTCTTCATGTTTATCACTCTGCACATAATCTAATGTTCCATTATTGAGTTCATTTGACGACAGGGGAGTTGTGGAAGATTTCGACATTTCAAATTCATCATCATTCGATGGTGACAACTAAAACAATTTTTTTTTTTTTTTTTTCATTGTTTATAGCTTAATACTTACATCTCTAATTATTTTTGCACTTCTAGCGTTAAGTTCTTCATTAGACTAACACATCACTTTATACTCCAATACGCTTAATACTTTGAAAAGATCGATTTCTTTCTCCTGTCAGCAGTTAAAGTTAAGATACTTGACTGGAAACAAGAAATATCAAAGAGATCAAAGAGATAGTTTTGACATTCGCTAAATTCAAAAAGATTCATTTAGCTATTTATTAAACTCTTTTTAAAATTAAAATAAATAACTGTCCAGAAAAAATTACTTTCTCCAACGATGAAGAATCATCAACAATGCCGGTTACTAAGCCAGCCATAAATGGAGTGATATCACCAAACAAATCTAAAAGATAAAGAATTGAGCACAGACTAAGAAAGATAAGGAATGCATAGTGTCCAATCTAAATACATAATATAAAACAAAAAATTTATTAAATTAAACCTTGCAAATTTTCCTTGCGCGTAAATTCTCCATTATGGGTTGCAGCCTTGCTAACATTTTCATCGTCATAATGTGCAATTTTCTCTTTTGAAGCGGAAAGATCTGAAGAATTACCGACCAGATCAACTGCTGCGAAGGATGGTGCTGATGGTGTCATCGGTGTCGAATCAAGTAGTGGTGTGTCTTGTGATGGTAATGCAGAGTTTATCAAATCAAATCCTTTTTCAGGTGTCTCCTGAATCCAAAGCTTATGTCAGCAACTCGAAATCATATTTTAAAAAACACGTCAAATTCAAGCTTTACTGAAAAATAATGTTTGTTTAGACCAATAAACTTCGTAAACTTACCACCATCGCCTCTTGCATGAAATCTCCAGTAAAATTCTTGTCTTCACCGGAAAAATCCATACTGATTCTACGCACTTGCATAGGTTCTTCAATTCCATCTAGCAAACCATTATTATCCGGAACTTGTGGATCAGTCGGGGTTTCAGGTATTTGTGGACTTTCGGGAGTAATGGGAGTTTTATTTTCGATGTCAGGAGAATTCTTCACTTCAAAATGTTGTTGTTCAAGCTGTGGACTTACTGCATTTTGCGGATTACTTAAGGACGGCAGATTAATCGATGCTACTGGATTTTGCAGTACCTCAGCAGGTTGTATATTTGTCGAAACTGGATCTGAGTTTTCAGTCTTCACCTAAAAAAGTGATTTTTATTATACAAAAAGAAAAAGAAACTGATAATTTTGCGTAAACATGCTGATACAGGTGCATCAATGACCAATTAAAAACCAAAAATATTAAGAAAAGCATGCAAAATTTGCTCAAAAAAAATGTTGCATAATTATAAAATTATTTCATGCACTTATGTAAATCAAACAAAACTATACACCCTATTACAATTTTAAAAAAGCACAAGTAGCAAAAAAAGTGGACTTACTTTTGTTAGTGAAGTTTTTATTACAACTTTATCGGTTGATTTTCTTTTTCCTATCTCCTTTTCCTTTGATTTGACTTCCGGAGTGGCATTCTTCTTTGCATCATTTAGTCTAGATTTCCCTGGCTTAGCCGCTACTTTAGTTTCTGGTGTATGAGACTTATTATTGCCTACAGCAGATGTCTTTGCTGATTCCATGACTGGTCTCTTTGCACCAGCAACAAGCCGTGATAGTGGAGCTGCTGCTAATGACTGTCTGAAATAAATCTTGCTGAAAATTATTTAAACAGTTTCGAAACTTGAATCAGTTATGCAAAATACAGTTCAGAATAAGATTACGAATTGCAAGCTGAGAAAATTTAATTCGAACTTATGATCAAAGAAATAGAAAAAACTGACCTGGCCACTTTTTTTAGAGGTTCATTAGGTGCCGTTTGCAGTGATGCAGGACGTGACAGTGACAAACTCGCGAGATTTTTTGCTGTAACATTTAAAAGGATAAATGTAAAAGTAAAAAAAAAAAAAACCGTTATTAAAGCTCTATTTTTATGAGTCATCCCGTAAATAAAAAGGAAAGATTCTATTAGCCCTCCCGAATCATGTTTCGAAGATTCTGAAGTATTTTCTCTTTAAAATATATTGATCATTTCTTGCTTCTCTCTTTCCACCCTTCCATTTCATCCTGTATCGCTTCCAATACATTGTAACATATATAACTACAAAAAAAATTGGCATTACATCGTTTTTCATCACATCATTGATAGCTTGAATCATCTTACGATATATTTTTAAAATTATGACAAATATATACTAGGTGTAGGTTTTCGTATTATTTTTCCTAGACGAGCCGATGATGGTTTCTCTTTTGTAGCTTGCGTAAATTGTGGGTAACGCAAGTATTCCTCGTTCTTTAATTTTTCCAGTGATGCATAAAGCTTCTCCAGTGAACAAGAGCCTCAAATAAGAATAACATGGAAACAACAAATTCCATTTGAAAAAAGAATTGCAATATTATAAAATTTACTCAGACAACAAGCTTACCGCCAAATCACAGTATAATTCTTTACCAAGAAATATGTATTTTTGTATTTTTGTTATCCTTCCAAGCTTTATTTTGATATTATTGGATAATAAAAATAACAGTTTTTCTCTTTGCATATTCGAAAAACGTGAAAACTTGCTCATATCTTCTCCAACATCCAACTTATCACTTTTTTCTAGTAGTTTTAAGAAGCAGTGTTGATTCTGTTGGTGTGTAAAAAATGGTCAATTTATGATTGAACGCAAACCTATGTTACTGTGTTTGGTGCTAATGTAATTTTACTATTGTATATCGTTTTTATTGAGTCAACAATTAAAAACACAAAAAAAGAAGCATTATTTAGCACGAGATATACAGATCAAGCTTATGCCTTTTTTTTTCTGAAAATTTTCTAGTGATAGACGATTTCTTTGTAGGAAGTAAAGTATGGCTTTATAAAATTTGGACCGTTATCGACAACGTTATCTGAGAAACAACTATACTTCTATTCTGTTTCCAATTTGAAAAGCTATTTCAGAACTTAATGAAAAATGAGATTTATGAAGGAAACAATGGATCTCTCAAACTTAGAAATAACAAAACAAAGACGTCAAAACATTTCAAAGCACGCACTTACCAGTAATAAGAATACGTGACACTGGCAATGTATGATCCGATGGATGCCAAACCAAAAGAAGTGCCAGTGATGTTAAAGCGGCAAATTTTTCTATATTTTCATCGGTTTTTAAAGCATGTACAAGTGAAGCAAGATCTTTCGAACTACGTTCTGGATTTAGTACAATCATGCGCAATGCACCCTCTCCTATCACCTAAAAAATGAGTAATTTCAAATGTGAGGCCATAAGGATAGAAGTCAAATTATTTGTACCTAAACGAGTAATATATAGAAAAGAAGTAACTAAGAACCACTTTTATAAAATTTTAGTTTTGTTAAAAACTAAGTACAAGAGAATATTAAGAAAATATCCATACTTCTATCATAATTCATAAAAAATAATTCCCTGATTACTAACTCTCCAGCTTTATCATTTAATTTCATAGTAAATTCGATAAAAAATATATAATCCGATAAAAATTCTAACATCCGAAAATGAAAATGACTAGAATTATAATTATGAGAAGAGTAAGCACGGAAAAGACAAAACCAAAAAGCAGTGTAAGCATAGAAAACCGATTTGATTAAAGAAACTAGCCTCATATAAAGTTACTGCTTCTAGCTTTGTATTAACAAAAGCTTCAATCGGTTTCAGACCTTCCGCACGCAGACCTTCATGCATCGCACGCAAAACTTTTGAAGCTTCACCGTCTCCATTTGCTATGCTTGAAGGTGGTAAGTTGCAAATTAGAGAACCAAAATTTGGATGGCACTGGAATTAAAAAACGTTATTCTTTTTATTCCTTGTATAAAGCTCTGTTTCTTTTGTTCAGTAACAGTAAATAAATTTGCTGTGTTTCATTTCCTTATGTATTTGTTTTCTATATGGGAACAAGTGAACTTTCACAAAACGAGCCAACCTCATCTTTTAAAGTCTTGCAGATTTATTCTTAATTTTCCCAACTATATGTCCAAGGTTTATATAACCTGACTGACATTATGTTCAATAAAAACATGATTTTTAATTCAAAATTTTTTAAAAACTATTCGCATTTCTCTTTCCTCCTGCCTTTTATTGTATAAAAATCGTCTTTGTCATTCAACTCACCTAAATACAGTGATCTGTAAATTCCAGCAATTGCATTTCAAGTCTGTCAATAGAAACAAAAAAAAAAGAAAAAAAAAAAAGATATTAAAGCGGTATTTTACACCTATCTACAAACTAGTTCAAAAATCTGATCAACAGCATACTTCTTGCAAACATTTTCGCATTAAAATCGCTGAGATTCCTTGCAAACATTTTGGACTTACGCGAGTAACCACTGCTGCTGATACTGCAAGAAAAAAAAAAAAAAAAACAATTAAATTGATACCAAAATGTAAATCTCATTTCACACTCCTTTTCTGTAATCAAGTAAAGTCTAACTAATATCAGCAAACGAAATTAGAACGCGATATAGAAAATTTTTTGTGCAAAAAAAATTTATGGTACAAATAAGACCCAAGTGTAAATGAAAAAATAAACGAATAAGAAGAAAAAAAGATAGAATAGGACAAATAAACGAATAAGAAGAAAAGAAGATAGAATAGGACAAATAAGCGAACAAGTAATTAACCTACAAATGCTATGTTACTAAGCATAATAAAAATATTTAGCTTTAAATATTTATTATATATCCTTAATTAACATTCCAAAAATCTTTATCAGCTAAAAACAAAACAGCACTACCAACAATACCAAAAAGAGATAAAATAATTACATATGCCTCAGGATGCAGCGTATTCTATTTCATTTATATAATATACTCTAAAATCAATAATCACACATAGATGAATTCAATGACACAGAACCACTTACTTTTGTCGTAATTACGAATCAGGTTCCAATATGGGACAACTTGTTGATCACCTCCATCAAGAAGTATAGAGAAACCATTCACTGAGAAAAACGCGGCATCCTCATTCCCACCGGAAAATATATACATCAGTGGACGACGGGTACGGATACTTCCAACAGAATGGCCTGCCGGCAATAACTGCACCAAATCTGCATCTGAAATATCCTCCACTAAGGTTATAAATATAGGAAATATATATATATATATATATTCTACAAGAAAAGGATGTTAACATACCATTCAAAATTAACTCAGTTCTAACAAAAAAATATATTTATATATATATATATATTTTTTAATTTAATGACAATGTTGATTAAAACATTAAGATAATCTTATTTCATACCTTAATTATCAATTACAATAACAGCAAATTTCAACTACTGAAATACACAGTTTCTAAATCTTGACGATGCAACTGCAAATGGGAATGTATAAGTGAATTATTTGTCTACCTTGAATCATTTGACTTTCTTGTTAATATTATTGATTGATCTTATGCTACTGTTGTTACTGTTGCTGTTATCCTCCCGTCGTCGGATAGATCCCCTCTGTAATAGGCTGAAATAAAAGATAATAATAAAAATGAAAAGGAAGAAGTAAAAATTTAAAGCGACATTGGATATATGTGAAAATGAAGCAAAATTGATGTGAAAAATTTGCTAAGCACTAAAAAGACTAAAAGGAAGAGAGTGAATTTCATTGAAATTCTCATAAAAATTTTCCGCCACTTGCACAAATGTCAGTTCGTTTCCTCTGGCTTAAAGCCATCCGTTACTTCTTAAGTCTTAGAGCTAATCAGCCCGAGCAACTGGGAGTTACCGTAGCCCAACTTGTGAAAAAGTCCCATCCCACAACTTTTGGATCATTTAACATCAAAACAGAGAAATGAAAATATCATTCTATTAAATAGATTCGATTAAAATTAATAAATTTCTACCGGTAAAATTAATTTCAAAAAATTTAATTATCAAAAAAAGGTTAGCAGTTATTCGGGAAATAAAAACAGGAAATTTCCTTCTTTCCAATTGAAATAAGTTAGAATTGAAAATGGTAAAAACAAGTATGATTAATTAATTGACTAATTAATTAATCAATACTAATTATTAAAACAATTGCTCAGGTATTCTTGTGATATTTGATCTATTTTATAGCATTTAATTCCGAATTATTATTTCAGGCTGAATCTTTTCTGCCAATGTTAGCTTTTTTTTTTTTTAATTAACAAAGAATTAATTCTAATAAAGCATGTCACCAACTAAAGTAATAAATTTTACAATTGGCACGGCAATTTCTTTATGAAAAATTCATGGGAGAAAGAAGTTTGACCCTTGCGACCCTTGCGTTATCTTAAAAGGGGTAAAGTTCATTTCACTACAAATGACCCTTGCATCATCCTAAAAGGGTTAAAGTTCACTTCCAATGTAAGAATTCAATTGTCTTACATATAAAAATAAATGTTACGACGAAGAAAACTTTTCTTTTTTAAATTAAAAATCCAAAAAATCGCTAAAATACGATCGTTGAATAAAATGTGTCGGTTATTTATTTGTTTTTTTTTTTTATTTTTCATTTTTTTTTTATTACCTTAGCGCATCTGGCGGCTTTGTTTACTGTCAACGACGAGAACGACGAATAATTGCCTATTTCCGGTTACGGTAAAAGTTATTGTTTCAATGACTTCTCTGTATCATTTTATTTCAAATAACCATTTAATTGTATATTTACTCAGCTATTCATAACAATTTTTAGCTGAACTGGAAAAAAAAAAATTAACAGAGTGTATTCTATTCTCCAAAAAGAGAAAAGAAAAATGAAAAGTATGAAATGAATGTGTTTGTCACTTTTTTTTTTTTTTTTTTGCAGCCCAAATTTGTTAGATTAAAAATTTTTTATAATTTAAAAATTTTATTTTTAAAAATTTACACTTTCTAACTTATATTTAAGTTAGAAACTTTTAATTGCAAAATGGAATTTTTTTGAAATTTTACTAATCTAATTTACATTTACAGATTTCATATTTGCTATTTGCAGTGATCGAAATGGGGAATATTGAAGCGAACTATCAAATTGTTAGCTTAAAATACTTACAACTAGCTCTGTCAACACAACAATGCGCAAATGTCAACAATGATCTATAAGTGACTAATGCGATGAAAAAAATTTGTCAACCAATAGAATGTTTATAATTTTTTGATGACAAAATGTTCGTAATTCTCAATAGCTACCATTTTAAAAGTTGGAAATCATTTGGAAAATATTTCTTGAAAGTGATGCAATTTGAGATTTTAATAAATTTAAAGAATTTAAATAGCATTACTATATCTTTCACTCATTATTTTATCAAAATTATCAGCAAATTATTGTTAACAGATGGTGATTTCGATGATTGCCAAAAGAATTTACATTGCATCTGAACGATAGTTCCATTCAATAGAATATCATCACTTTAAATCAAATATAAATAATTTTTTTTTTTTTTAAAGAAATAAAAATAAGCAAAATTTACTGAGTAGGAAAATGAGTGTAACAAAAATCTGAAATTAATGCATAATGTATGCTTTAGGAATAGTATTATTACTAGGCTTAAGTGTATTTCACAAATTTTTTAATTAAAAATTTTCCAAATAAAATTTCATTTATAATTTTATCAATTATTTTAGAGCCAAAATGTTTAGCTTCAAATTTCTATTGCATTTGTTATTACACTTTTTTTTTTTTCTTTTAGCTAAGCCATTTCGAAAACTTTATTGATTTTCTTGTTATATTTTGAGCTAAGCTAATCTCATCTTAAATTCTTTACAAGAAACTCAGATTTAAAATGTCTCATCTAATAAATCTCTGAATCAGTTATGCGAATTTGTCAATATTATATTCAAAAGAAAAAATAAATAAAGAAATAAAATAAGAAATTATTCTATTAATTATTCGAAGTTTAAATTGAACTAAATATTCATATCAAACTTTGTGAGAGCAAATAATTAATATATTTCAAAAGCATATGATTTACTTTAAAGTATTAAAATTTAACTTGAAGAAAAAAAAAATAATTTGTTAAAGTAACGAGAATTTTTTTTGAATAAAAAAAAAAATGGTGTTTAATTGGAAAATAAAAATAATTCATAGTGTTTCAACTTTTCCATTCAAAAAATTTTAACTCTCTGATAGGAAAAATAATATTTGTTATTGAATGGAAATAGCAAAAAAAAATATTTTTCATTTTAGCAACGAATAAAAATGTATGAAAATAGTTTACTTTAACATTTTACCCAAGTAAAATTGATACTAATATAATTTTAAAATAATCTGTTAAATATTTAATAAACAAGAAAAAATTTCATCAATGTTTTTTTTTCTTTTTTTTTTTTTACTAAAGCATAAACAATTATTTATCCTAAGTATTTAAAAGTTTGAATTTAAAACAAAAAACAAATGAGACAAGTTTTTAAGCATAATACTAATTTCCATTGATATTTAATACTTTTTTTTTCATTTATTGATAAAGAGAAAATTTATCAGATAGGTAAAAAATAAAATGATAACTGCATCCCATATTTTTTTTTTTGGTTCCAGTCTCGATGTTTATGTGAATTTCAATTTAGGTGAATTTTCCTATTTCTTTTAAATTGTTATGAAAAGTTTTCCTTTCCTTTTCATGCATTAAAAAATGATTAATGATAACAACTGTATTGTATGAATCAAAATTATCACTATATTACAGTGATAGTGATAACTTATAGATGAAATGTTATATTCAACATTTCTAGCACATTCTTTTCAATTAATTTTATAAATTGATAATACATTATTTTAATCACAATCATTCAATTTTTAATCTTTTCTTTTAAATCCGTTGCCATTAGATAATATTGCTAATTGAAAAAAAAAGAAATTTTAAAATTAAAAAATAATGATAATAGATATTCTCATTAACTGGACAATAATAATAATAATAATAATAATAATAATAATAATAATAATAATAATAATAATAATAATGTGACAGACACTATCGCTTAGCTTATTTACTATAGTAAACAAAAACTGCTTATTATGTAACATAGCTAACTAACTTTATTGCTAGTTTAAGTTAAAATTTTAAAAACTGAAATTTTAATCATGCAATAATATCGATCGATAAACATTCATTGAAAGTTGAAAACAAAAAAAAAAAAAGAAGAATGAAATTTGATAGGAATAATAAATTGTTGAATATTTTTCCTTCTCATTTCTCAATGATATGATAAAAACATATCTAATCAATTGTTATCAAATTTGTGCTTATCACTATTTTCTCCTATTAGCAATAATACTACTTTTTTTTTCTTTTTTTTTTTTTTAAAAAAAATTGTTTTGTGGTAGAGTAGTTTGGGAATTTTTTCTTTTTTCACTTAAGCTAACTGATAATCTAAGATCTAAGCATTTCATACTACGCCTATCTATTTATCAGTAAGTCTATTTGACCTTATCTGTCAGCTTATCAGTCGACTGACGATTTATCATCAAATATATAATCTGTGGAGTAGAACAGGATGACTGATGATATTTCATTGATTAATTAGTCATACTGAATTCTCGATTTCCGATCTCTGTTTTTCTTCACAGGAAGTTAACTTGATTGGTTTATATGCCTGTGCAGGTGTTCGTCTTTTTTTTTTCTGAGTAATTTCTAACATTTGAAGAAATTTGTTAATGAAAAAAAAAAAAAAAACAATATTAACTTTAAAGTAACACGTAGCACTGATAAAAAAAATCTATGTTAAAGTGTTTACTATTTACCAACTTTGATTTGTGATTTCATTATTAAATAATTTCTTAAATTGATTACCTGAAAATGTAGAATTTCAGAGAAATGTAAAAAATTGATTTACAAATTCTTTATAAATTTGTTAGAAGACTTATCCGACTTTTTTAATATTAGCAAAAATAATTTTTATACCCATTTGTTGATTACATAATCTTTTTTTCCATAATTCTAAGATTAAATCTAAGGTTTAAATTTTCAATTCAGAAATATTATTGCCTTAAAACATTTTCAAAAGTAAATATTTTCAAGCATAAGTAACAAAAAATTATATTATATAATGCAAATAATAAATTACACATTTTAAAAAAAAAAAAAATAAATGCAATTCATTTTTATATTTAAAACGAAAACAGAAGACTATCAGCGCATTTGTTAAAATAAAACAGTCAAATATGTCAAGGTGGGATGGATGTGAACTAAGTATTATCATTATGGATGAGATAAATGATAACTATTATCATTATGGATGAGGTATGATAAGTAATATCATTATGGATGAGATATGATAAGTATCATCATTATGGATGAGATAAATGATAACTATTATCATTATGGATGAGATAAATGATAACTATTATCATTATGGATGAGGTATGATAAGTAATATCATTATGGATGAGATATGATAAGTATCATCATTATGGATGAGATAAATGAT